TAAAAAAAAAAAAAAAAAAAATAAAAAAATAAAAATTAAATATAATTAAATTAAATATAATTAATTAATTAATTAATTAATTAATAAATTAATAAATAAATTAATTAACCTTAAGCATTCCTTGTTTAGGATGCTCTCCTCTTCCTCTAAATAATCCGGGCGGTTCAACTCGGCAATTTCCAACTTTTTCTCTTAGCCAGTCAACAAGGGCATAAGAAAAAGGTGCAGCCTCTGCATCTTTTTGTGCCTTTAATATCTATAAATAAATAAGAAATATATTTATTTTATTCATTTATTTATCTTATTTTATTCTATTTTATATGTTTAACAAGAAATAACAAAAAAAAATCGACAAAAATACAACAAAAATCATATTTTTATACCATATAGTCATATCTATACGTACACCCCAAAACCCTAAACCCTAAACCCTAAACCCTTAAAATGGATCTGTATATATATTCGTAACAATTCTAACAAACCCTAAACCCTAAACCCTAATGCAATAATAATAATGCTAATAAGAAAGGAGTAACAACATCATAATAAAATTACAAACAAATACATATATAAATGTGCACAAATCAAACACCACTAAACCCTAAACCCTAAACCCTAAACCCTTGTTACCTCTTTTTCTTCCTTGGATAGATTTTTCTTTGCCTCTTTTTGTGCATCGAGGTACTTCTTAATCCTTGAGAAATCACAGACCTCAAACCCTCCTGCATCTTCTGCTGTTGCTGTTGCTGCTGCTGTTGCTGCTGATCCATCAGCAGCAGGAGGTGTTGCTGCTGCTTCTCCATCTGCTGCAGTACTACCACCGCTAGAACCACCACCACCACCACCACCACCACCACCAGCAGCAGGTGCAGCAGCAGCAGCACCATCAGCAGCAGCAGGAGGTATACGAACTTGTGTATGTTTAGGATCTTTTTTTATTATATGATCTGCTGGTAACTTAGACAAAAATGCTCGCCAAAAATTTCTAACAAAACGTATTTTTGTTGAATAGTCACTCTCTAATACACCACACCTGCGTATACACCCCAAAACCCTAAACCCTAAACCCTAAACCCTAAACCCTAAACCCTAAAAAATTTAATTTTCTTTTTTTTTATTGGGAAATGTTATAATATCATATAATTCAAAGGAAGTAAAAAATTAAAAAAAAAATCATAAACCCTAAACCCTAAACCCTAAACCCTAAACCCTTACCAGAAATTAGCAACTTCTTCTGCCTCTGGTGGTAAAGAAACAGTTTGTCCTTTATAATCAATACAAACCCCATGAGGTTCATAAGGAGGAGCAAACATTAATCCATTATGCTCTAAATATTGCCACTGTATATATATACACACAAACCCTAAACCCTAAACCCTAAACCCTAAACCCTAGGACCCTAAAACAATATAAATTCCTGTAAAACAATAAAACCCTAAACCCTAAAACCCTAAACCCTAAACCCTAGAATCCTACTTGTGAGAAAGATATCTTTCTCGCACCACCGCGAAAGCACCTCGTCCCCCTCAACCCTAACCCTCAACCCTAAACCCTAAACCCTAAACCCTAAACCCTAATTGTACAAGAATATTTAGTAATTGGGATAGATACATCGCTCGCACCTCGTTGAAACCCTCTCTTCTCCCCCCCCACCCAAACCCTAAACCCTAAACCCTAAACCCTTACTTGTACAAGATTATTCTCTAATTGGGATAGATCTCTCTCCCACCATCTAGATATAGGCTCAAAGTTTTCTTCTGTTTTTGTGTATTTGTTTCTTCTTCTTGTTAATCCAGGAGAAGGAGAAGAAGAAGTAGGTCTATTATTTAATTCTTTTTTTATTACTCCTGCTGCTGCTGCTGCTGCTGCTGCTGGGGTTGGTGTTGCTGATGCTGAGGGGGATACTGCTGCTGAGGGGGAACCTGCTGCTGCTGGAGATCCTGCTGCTGCTGCTGCTGCTGCAGCAGCAGCAGAATCAGCAGAGGGGTCACTCTTTACGTTACGTAATGCTGCAGCAAGGGAACCGCTTACTGCTGCTGCTGCTGCAGGCTTTGCTGCTGCTGCTGCTGCTGCTGTTGCTGCTGCTGCTGCTGTTGGTGCTGTTGGTGCACTGCAATTGCTGTTGCTGCTCCCGTTGCTGGTGCTAGTCGTGCTGCTGCTGCTGCTGCTGCTGCCGTTGTTGTTGCTGCTGCTGATTTCCTCCTTCACAGCTGAATTAGCAGCAACTCCTTTACACTCATTCTCTATACCTGCTGCAGCACCTGCTGCTGCTGCTGCTGCTGCAGCAGCAGCAGCAGCAGGAGCAGCACCTGCTGCAGGTACCTCTTCCTTGACCTTCTTAATGCGCTTAGACAGCGGGATGTCCTCGTCCGAGGAATCGTCTCCCTGATCACAAACCCTAAACCCTAAACCCTAAACCCTAAACCCTGATTCCTGTATATCCCGGTACAGCGTGCATCGAACGGCCCACGAGGCCGACAAGAGCCAAACCCTAAACCCTAAACTCTAAACCCTAGTCCTGCTGAAAAGACGTCAAAAAATAAACCTGAATAAGTTGGGGGTTTAGGGTTTAGGGTTTAGGATATTTTAGACATCCTTACGAGCTCGCGCTTCTTGTGCATCTTCTCGGGCCTCCTACGGCACCGGATCCGCTAAACCCTAAACCCTAAACCCTAAACCCTTGTTGACTGGATTGTTAAAAAGTTAATTAGCAGGAGTGCTGATAGGTTCTAGGGTTGGCTAAACCCTAAACCCTAAACCCTCCAAAACCCTCTAAAATCCTGTTCTGTGGGGGCTGCACCCTCTCCTGTGCTGTTCCTGTTCTTTTTATGACTTATTTTTAATTAATTAAAGTAAAGAAGAATAAAAAATAGCAATTGTAAATATTTCATTGAATACAACAAGAAAAATTAAGGTGTACATACACCCGAGCCCCAAGCCGCGTGCATGCGTCTGTCGCTCATTAGTAGAAGCCTTAACTTTTTTCTTTATTTTTATTAAAAAAAAAGAAAAATAAATGTTTTTTTACCTTTTATTTTTAATTTATTATTAATTAAAAGGGTTTTCCCTCCTATTTATTCAATAAACCCTCTATATTTATACCCTTTTACCCCCTCTCCTCTCCCCCCCCGCCAACGACCGGCTGTCTGTACCTCTACACCTCTGTACCCGGCTAAACCCTAAACCCTAAACCCTAAACCCTTTTTCTTCATTTTTTTCTTTTCTTTCTTCTAAAGAATTATTTATTTCTTATTATCTAAAAGATTGACAACTAATATAACCCTAACTAACACTAACAACACGCCGGCCTACATATAACCCCCCCAGCTTATAAGGCCGCGCAGCTAGCTAGCTAGCTGGCTAGCTAGCTAGCTGAGTAGCTAGCTAGCTAGCTAGCTAGCTAGCGATCAATATGGGCATTAGGTAGCTAGAAGGGGGGTTAGACAAAGGCAGCACAACTACAGTCGTCGTGGATCTAGGGTTTAGGGTTTAGGGTTTAGTTAGTGTTTTAGGGTTTCTTAATTATCTATATCCACCTAGCTAGCTAGCTAGCAAGCTAGCTAGCTAGCTAGGTGGATATAGATTTATTTATTTATTTATTTATTAATTTATTTATTTATTTATTTATTTATTTATTTATTTATTGCTTATTGTCTCTAAATGTTTTGTGTATTCTTCCCTTGTTGCTGTCCTTGTCTTGCCTTTTTTTCTTTTTTTCTTCCTTTTCCTTCTTTTTTCCCTTAATTAATTAACTACTTAATTAATTAATTTAATTAATTTAATTAAATAATTAATTTTATTTATTTATTTATTTATTTTATTTATTTATTTTATTTATTTTATTTATTGAAGAAAAAAAAAATAAAGAAGAAAAAAGAGACAAGAAAGAGACAATAAATAAATAAATAAATAAATAAATAAATAAATAAATAAATAAATAAAATAAAATTAAGGAAAAGAAAAGAAAAGAAGAAAAAGGAAGAAAAAAGGACAGAAAAAAACAAAACAGACAAACAAAGAAAAGCCATTTGTATAAAAAGAGAGAGTTGGCTGTCGGGCCTAAACCCTAAACCCTAAACCCTAAACCCTAAACCCTAGGGATTGTTGGTATGTCTGTTTGTTTTAGCGGGAAGAATAAGAAGAGGAAAAAGACCTAAAACACATCCAATACAAATACCCAACTGCAGCAGCAGCAGCAGCAGCAGCAGCAGCAGCAGCAACAGCAGCAAACACAAATATAAATTATATATATAATGAATAAAAGTTTATATATACACCTAAATATATGTGCCTATACACCTGAATAAAATATATTTGTCTATATACACCTAAATATACCTGCCTATACACCTGAACAAAATATAGGCCTGCCTACATACATCTAAATAGCTGCCTATACACCTGAATAGGTGCCTATACACCTGAATAAATAGACTTACTACTGATCCACTAAGATGAGCATTTCTTGCTGTTGTACTCTCCGCTTGTTGAGGAGATAAACGAGCAGTAGGAGGCCCTGTATACATAAATAAATAAATAAATAAATAAATAAATAAATAAATAAATAAATAAATAAATAGGCAAATAAAACAATAATTATATATTCATAGCTAGCTAGCTAGCCACTTAGCTACCCAACTACCCAGCAACCCAGCTAGCTAGCCAATTAACCAACTACCTAGCTAGCTAGCTACCCAACTACCTACCTAGCTAGCCAACTAGCCAGCTACCTAGCTAGCTACATAGCTAGCTACCTAGCTAGCTACATAGCTAGCTACCTAGCTAGCCAACTAGCCAGCTACCTAGCTAGCTACATAGCTAGCTACCTAGCTAGCTACATAGCTAGCTACCTAGCTAG